AGAGAAGGAGAGAGAGGAGAGGGAGGGAGAGAGAGAGGAGAGGGGGGAGAGAGAGAGAGAGAGGGGGGAGGGTACTGCGAGAAGGAGTGAGGGGACCCTGCGCTGGCCCTTCCTGGGGAATGCGTCAGTTTTATGGGTGTCGCAAAAGACGGCGCATCTGCTGCAAATTTTTCTACTGCGTCGCCATAAAAAATACAACACTAAGGGGCATATTTATAAAGCAGTGAATCTGACTTTCAGCAAAAATTTATCTGCAGGTGAATCTTCTAGGTCCATGTGCTTTCAGTGATTATCAATGTCTGGTTGACTAATATCACATGGAAACAACATCATAGAACGTATCAAAAACTTATATAATGTATCAAAAACCTGAGCCTGAGTTATATAAAGTCCACGTGTGTGTGTGTGTGATGACCTCCACCAGAGAAAGTTTGGTGAAAGTCACATTCACTGCTTTATAAATGGGGAAAATAATTAAAACCAGCGACAGGTAAAAAAATGGGCCCCCCAACGACTTTTCATTCATCGTTTGTTCCACTTTCATAAATGTCATTTGTACTGGGAGCCGACCGCAGACCCTTTCCCAAACTGGGATCAGTGAAGGACCACAAGCCCCCGGCCTCCCTTACCAGGGCATGCTTAGACTTGTAGTGGGAAGCGAAGGGGATCTTACCACGAAGGGAATTTAGGATTCCTCCATGATGGTGGCCGGGCTTGGAAGCCCAGTAGGTCTGGCAACCGTTTTTTGTTTTTTCTCTCATTTTGATTTTTTTGGGAGGATCGCTCTCTTCCTCCCCTTCTTCCGCTTCAGTTCAGCTCTGGGGATCTCTCCCTCTTTTTCGAGGCGAGAGGCAGAGAGAGCGAAGCCCGCTCAACAAAGGAGCAGCAATGTGTGCGATAAACAAAGGAGGCGAGTTGGCTTCAGTGAAGCAAGAAAGGGCAGATAAAGGGGCTTCACTGTGGAAGCAGCCGCTTGGTATGTGGGAATCCGGCGAGAAGCGGGGCCTTGTTTTTCTAGCCAGTTTTAATGAATTATGGCGCTGCCCCCCCTCCCTCGCCCGGCAGAATGTGTGTGTCCCTTTTCTCTCGCCAAGACCCAATCTCCGTCAGCTTCGGGGACCGCCGTTCCCCCAAATCTGCTGCTATTTTGCCCCCTGTACTGGGGGGG